TTTCGTTAGATAAATTCCTGATGGAATTATTTGGATTTACCTCAAAGTAGGCTAAAACGTTAATTTATGTATTTTTGGATATCACAAAATGTTTTTCAGTTCTCATATTATCAAAAAATTTTTCATTGTTCCTGAATCAGAGATGGAGCAGAGCACAAAAACCGCTGATTAGGTAATTCACGATCGGGAAAAGAATTGCTGAGTGCTCTTACGTTATTTTTCTGGGAAAACAAGTAGGATTCTAACATATCACATTTTTCTTGATGGGAAAACTACATTTCGAAAAATATTCGAACAGTAGTTGACAGTTACAAATAATTTATGACATTGTCATATTATACTATTATTTGACAAATCAACAAAGTTTCAAGGCAACTTGATTACTCCTAATAATTCTGCTCCATCGAATCAAACACAGTTTTTTCCAACCGCATTAATATGATGCTCCACTATTTTCTGTTCTGTACAAAAACGGTAGCATTACATCACGAAATGAATACCGCTAGTGGAATGGCTTTAACCCTTTCTGTCCCGGGCCTTGATTTACATGTTCGTCCCTCAGTCCCAGAGGTTTTTTCATGCTTAGAGTCTCATTGCCTCATATATACGTCGCATATAAATAAACAAATAAATGACCAAAGAATGTTTTTTTAATAAGAAAAATATATTTTTCAACAAACCTAAACGTTTTCTGTTTAGAAATACTCATCAGAGAGCAAAACCAACTTGAAAAAATCTAACTAACTTAAGTTTTTTTTGTGTGATACTCCCCAAAACACGGTACTACGCAAAGACCAACTCCGCATGTTGCACACATGTATCTCGATTCGCTTTTTTTTTCTGGCCACTCCTGTGGCTACAAACGACACATCGCTTCACTTTCTTATCAGGAACTGAACTAGGAAAATGTCGCCCTTTGAGCCTTTGAGGATTCTTGGTTAAAGGGTTTATACTTCTGTTTTTTTCATTTTTATATCTGAAACAAGATGAAGAAATAAGTGCAGAATGAAAAAAATAATTATTACAAACTTACCCATCAAAAAATGCTCCTATAATGGTAAGTTGATAATCTGCAAGCGTTAGCCTTGCTTACACATTCCGTGGAGCTCAACATCATATCTGATCGATCTATTGCACCCATATTTTCGTTGTAATCCACAACAACAGCTGGTTCTTGTATAGGTTCTTTGGTCTTGAAATCTACTTTGTCTAACGCTACTATGCGATCTTCATGAAAAGTAGTTAGCATCATAACATCACGCCTATCCTTCCATTTCACGCAAAGCAGATTTTCGACACATATCGAAATAGACTCTCCTTTAGATAATTTTTGATTTAAATTGGGCATCTCTTAACGATTAGGACGGACTGTCCCGCAGGAATTAGTCTTATGTTTATGCAGATATGTACACAAAGTAGGGCTAGTGTACCAGTTGTCTGTGTACAGGTTATGGCCTTAGTTCAAATATGGATCCATAAGATTTGCTACTACTGAGCCTGATATTCCAAGATCTTGGAACAGAGTAATATCTGTCGATTTTCCAGTATAGACAATAACACCTAATACATAGTCTGTCTCGCAGTCACATATTAGAAAAAGTTTTATTCCAAAACGATGGCGTTTGGTCTTTATATACTGTTTGAATCTCAAACGCCCCTTGAAAAGAACTAAGCTCTCGTCGATAGCAAGATTTTTAAATGGAGTGAAGTACTTTTGGAACCGTGATGTAATTTCATTGAACACTGATCTCATTTTGTGAAAACAGTCACCTTCTTTTTGGTCAGCATTATCTGAAAAGTGTAACATGCCAAGGATTGCTTGGAAACGATTCCTTGACATCATTTCGGAAAATATTGGTGTATGAAGCAACTTATCAGTTTTTTTATTATTATTTTTTTTTGACCAGTTTTCTCTAACTTTATTTTTTCCATGTCGTGAGGCTAGCAACATAACACAAAAAACACGTAAAATTCGTTAATATCAGTTTCGCTTCATTTCTTTATTTTCATTTGCATAAACTTCGAAAGCATATTTGTTAGTTTCAGAGACAATAATCTCAAATATCTCTGTGTCCATAAATAAAAGAAAATAACTCAAAGCATCCGACTTATTTTCTATTGAGTCCAAGTGTGCTCCGGTCTCTCTATCATCAAAATCATGTACTACGGAAATAAACGGAGTTTTCTTCCATTTCAGAACCAAATTTTGTTTTAGGGCCAAATTATCTTGAATCACTTCAGGTGACTTATTATTTGTATTTCTGTCTTGACCATCAACAGGATTTTCTTCGTCAGATGAGCCATTATTGCTATTTTCGAACTCATCAAATATAACTTCATTTATCTCGTCATCCTCATCTGAATCGGGATTATACTCACTGCCACTAGAGACATATGGCTCTTCATCAGAGTTTAGAGCTTCCAAAATATCGTCATATTTCTGTTTTGATAGCCCACAAAAGTTTTCTACATCCTCATACTTTTACGCTTAGAACCACGTGCTTTACTCATATCGCGCCCACGATTGCGACTGTTGTGCCCGAAATGCTTTTTAAAACTGAATTTTGAAGTGGTTCAACGCGCCAAATCGTTCTACCGAACTTCACCTTCGACCTATGCATGTAACAGCGTTACCACCAGTGCGACAATATAGAATTTATCTTCAATTTGTGAACAAATATATACGCCAATGGGTCCGCATGACCTGTTTTAGGTGCCAATATTTTGCGGCTTTGGGACCAATGATCTAACATTTTCGGACATATTTCTACGGCATTGGGACACCAACGGGTCTGAAATTTTATAAGTAAGGCATATTTTCGGCTTTGGTAAATTGAGACCATAGCATCTTGAACATATATATATACGGCGGCTGGGACTACAGACCCACTCTTTAAAAAACATATATATGCGGCATTGGGACAGAAACAGTTTAGATGGAAATTATCGTTTTGTAAATGAATAACAAATAGCTCAGTGCTGTCAAGTGAGTAGTACGACATGATGTTCACGGGTTCAAATCCCAGCGCAAATGTTTCTTTTTGCTGAGTAACAAATTACGAATTGTCATTCGTATAAGTACAAAAATTGGGTGTGTAGATAATCATGAGGTTTTATTTTCCAAAACAAAGGAATTTTTTGTACTCGTGAAACAAATCGCTCATTTTCAACTTTAGGAAAAGAGAGGTGATATGAGCTTTATTGTTGAAAGTGTGTTTACAAATTGAAATGCATGATAAGATATAGGGTGAAAAAATCAGAACTTTAAGAAATATATTGAAAACGCGACTGTAATTTTTTTTGTTTTCGGCATCGAGAAGGCCATAAAAAATGCTGCTAGTTGGCCTATTCAACCGAATTCGTAGCATCAATAATAAATCAATTGGCAATGGTCTTGACTCAATGAGGAACACCCTGTTGATTACTGATGGCATTTCGACAAAAATACTAATAAAAAAATAAAACCTGAAACTGGGACCCCTGGCGTTGAATGCATCCTAAAACAAGCAGTTTTTCCAATCAACAGAAATGCAGTGCTCTCCTCAACGCGCGTTTCACCAACTGAGTTTTTTTAAGAAAATGGAGAAAACCAACCTGCGTTACAACAAGAAGAACAAGAAGAACAACGTGTGTTTTACTAACCGAGTTGGCGTTTTCATAATATGAAGAAAACTAGTAATTGTTACATTTTTCTCACTTTCAGCGATGAATAGTTTTCACATCAGGAGTACTACTATCTGACGTAAAAATATATGAGGAAATATTTCCCAGGCATGTGTTGATTCAAAGTTTATCGTATTATAATAATATTAATTGTTTCGTAAAGTAAAGTGAGAATACTCCATAATGATTCAATTTTATGATGAATTTCATCAAATTTCAACAAGATGGGACATCTACTGTTGACACTATATCATGTTTGGTTTCTTATATCTGTTTAGGAATATGTTTCGTTAACCAGCTGTCGCACCCTTTGAAGACAACCTTCAAAAGTTTGAACTTGCACGAGCTGTGAATCAACGAGGTCTTGCTTTCCAAAGTATAATTCATAAAACGTGTTGGACGACAGGCAGTGGAAATTGATCATACGGCCTCGTGGCTTGAACCACCGTTTCTCCTGACGGTCGATTGAATGAGTGAAACTAACTACTCACGCCAACCCAACCGGTCACCCTCCCAATATATGATTCGTGCAACGGTGTTGAATGTGTCAGTGTTATTTTTCGGAAAATGGGGACCTATACCAATTAAACTTGAGCGTTATGGTATAAGGGGTGTAGTCTTGAATTTAATTAAATTATACTCAACTAATCGATCTCAGAGTGTAATCATCAACACAACTCAGAGTCAATCTCTCATTGTTAAGCAGAGAGTTTTTCAAGGCTAAATTTTTGGCCTTTGTTATTTTTATGTAATGCCTATGTTATTTTTGTGCTAATGATCTCATTAATTTCCTTTTTGACATCTCCAAAGTACAAGTAATATCATATGCTGATGATACAAATCTACTCATAACTGGTTAACTGGTGAAGATACTACTGAACTTGTGATAAATGTATCGGTAAATGTATCTAAAACCTCTTTATATATATTGAATCTCAAACGCCCCTTGAAAAGAACTAAGCTCTGGTCGATAGCAAGATTTTTTTCGATCAAAAATCGACTTATACTGTTATCTTATTTAATACACTTATGATTTTTAAGAGAAAATTAAGAATTATTATTATTATTATTATTATTATGAGCACTGATGAGAGTCAGCTGATATGAAATATTTTTTGCATGTAGGTGTAAAAACTTACGAAATATTATATTTAGACCCAAAATTGTCTCAGAAATCCGAAAATGTTGAATTCTAGAGGGTATTTCATTCAAAAATACAAGATCGGAGTCATTTTGAGAAGTGACTGAAAAGGAAAAATATGCGAAACTCCTCCCTTTACGTAACAGTTACCAATATCAAATCTCTATATGAGTCAACTGATATTGTCAAGTTGTGTCAAGTTATGACTTGTCATAATGAATTCGTTGACATCTGGTATTCTAGTTTTTGTTATGCAAATAATTATATGATAAAAAGTTTTATTGTTTCAGTTCGGTTTTCTCTACGCAATAATCTGTTGCGATGAAACCATGAGAGAGGGGAGAAGGTTATTGACAACTTGTTTCCTTCGGAAAGGAAAAACCATTTCCGGAAGATGCAGGGAGGAGCTCGTTCTATTTACGGAATACCTCAAAGATTATCCTGTGGTTTTGAGTGCTGGCAACTTCTTTGAGTTGACGAGGAACAATTTACTCAATCATTTAGGCGTGGTGGCGACATATTTGATTATATTCACTCAATTGAGTAATTTCCATGTTTAGTGGGTTCCTGTTACATTTTTCCATGTAATATATTTATGAGCACAATTAATAAATTTATCTGACTAACAGCATCAATATTGTACATCACCTAGCCAGAGAACAAAGATGCGAGCAAGCCATCCCAAGAACTCAGCTAAAAACTCTGGAGAAAATGAAAAAAAAATGGCATATAGTAAAGGAAATCAACTTCACGTAAATGGTGAAATATATTTTGTGGAAGAATTGCTGATCATTCAAAGAACAGAAAAAACGAAGGGCCAACAGCGCACCACCTACCCCAACCGTGTCTGAAATATTCACGACCAAGTTAAGTTATCAGGAAAAGCGTCTTATTATTAAGTTTTTGTATGAAGTCCACAAGAAATCAATGAAAGCCTATTCAGGTACAGCCCTATGAGCTGAAAAATATGCTTGAGATCAACTGGGAGAAAGGAATAAATAGCTGAATAATATCTGAAGGAATAATATCTGAGTATTCACCAACGAAGGTCGAAGTCATTCTGATATTATTTATAATTTCAGGCTTTCCCGTCTCCTAAGTATACATTTCTCAAATTCGCCCAACACCCCATTATACATCCTTTGAAAGTTCAAGTTGATACAGTTTGTGATTGAAATATTTTCCACTCATGGATGAATACATCACTAACTCTGAAATTGATACCATCTCATTCCCTGTTTTGAGAGATCCTTTTGAGCTGAACTCCACTTTTGAATGTGAAAGAAACAATTTAAAATTTTTTCAAATGCATTTAAGAAGTATCAATAAAAACTCACATTTATTGAAAGTATCGTTACAAAGAATGAAAATATAAACTCATTTACAATTCGGGTATGATTAATCAAAATGACGGAGTGATAGTAATTATAAAAGATACAATCAATTATAACGGAGACATTGAAATTATATATAATATAAAAATTATTGAAATTGATACGAATAATGAAAATGTACATTTTGAAATACCTGTTTTGTATAGACCTCCTTCCTTAAATGAGAAAGAATCCATGTGATGCTATGGAAAATTATTTGAATACTTATCTAAACATTCTAAATGCAACAATGAATATCTAAATACCATGTACAGTAATAGTTACATGTCATATATAAATGGTACAACAAGAACAAATGGAGACAGGCACCATTGCATTATTGAATATTTCAAATATAACTCAATTATTCTTGAATCTGATATAACTGATCACTCTTCAACAATTATTCAAATAATATCCGAAAAAATAAAAAGATATGTTGAAAATACTAGATGAAAACTGTATGATGACCACAAAAAATTAGCTAACTATGCGAAAAAACAAACTTGGTACAAAATATATACTTCCTAAAATTCAGAAATAGCAACAAACAGTTTGATAAAAATATAACAAATAGAAGCACGAACAGAGTCAATAATAGAAGAAACAACAAAAAACACATCCTTCAGATTACCAAAGGTCTCATGAAGTCGGCAGTAGGAAAGAAGAGCTAAAGAAAATTATGTTAAAGACACCCTCTCCAGATAACATAGAAAATACAACAGTTACAAAAATATATTTGGTAAGTTAGTGTCATAAACATAAATAGAATTTTCTGATTGATTCGGCCGTTACTTGATGAAGATCTATATTAATTTAAAAAACTACACCTCAACGATTTGATCTCCACAAACTTTATTTAAAAAATATATCACAACATGTTTCGCTAAGACATTAGCTTTTTCAAGTGATTTATGATAAATCACAACATGTTTCGCTAAAATTAGCTTTTTCAAGTGATTTATGATAAATCACTTGAAAAAGTTAATGTCTTAGCGAAACATGTGATATATTTTTCAAATAAAGTTTGTGGAGATCAAATCGTTGATGTGTAGTTTGTGAAAATAAATAGTATCACCAGAGAGAACTAGAAAAATTAAAGTGATTTCTCGAAACTGTGGAAATCAATCAACAGACTCGTGAACAAAACATAAGATAGATTGATAAAAAAAATAAAGTTAGAAAACGGACGAACAACTACAAAAGAGAAAGGAATTGCGCAGGAATTCAATGATTTTTTAAGTTGTAGCGTTCAATTTCAGCTTTAGATATCTAAACATGTTATAAAGAATTGTCGATATACGTAAAGTATAACAAATTGCTATGACTCTTTACACTCACAATAATTTACACTTCACGATGTAATTAATAACTTACAAATCACTATATTCCATCAACAGAGGTAAAACTTTAGTCGCAATCTTGTGGAAGTCCAACATATTCACAGTATCACACCAAAACCCAAAACAACGTTTCTAATAGATCTAGTCGATAGAAAAATAGTCAGGAGGTTGCATTACTCGGCCCTGTATATTGAACTTTGAGCAGCTGATGCTTATCACCGCTACTACAGATCAATCCATCTTTTACCAGGGTAAAATTCTAATAGTTAACGATCCCGAGCGTAAGGTACATGAAAGACTTTCCCCGTCTCTACCTGGAAAAAGAATATGCAGCATTATTATTGGGTACACACAATCGATATGCTCGAATTTCACGACAATTAGGTCTCGATCAAAAATCGACTTATACTGTTATCTTATTATCGCTTACCTTGATGTATTTTTCCTTTGATACAGAATTTCCGTTGTCCCAATTGAATTCTAGGTTTGATTTGTTGTTTACATTCTGGTGTTCGCCCGTTGATGGAAACAAGACCTTGGACAATCGTCTTGGTCTTGGCGCAATCGTTTCGGCTGTCGAAAATATGCGACACTGCCAGGTATCCGAGAGAAATTTTAGCAGAACGCGATGTTTTTTGATGATTTCTGGTAAGATAATGTATTTCCTGAGCTGGTAATGTGTATTTGGCAAGATATTTAACATCAGTGAAGTATTAGGTAGTGTTTGCAATAGTTGAGTTAGAGGAAAGCATTGAAATCAATTCTGATTCGGTTGATGATTATATCAGTGACATCTCTGGGCAACTCAACAAATTTGAGTTTTAACAGTCTGGAAGAAGAGGGTTACCAGCGGGGTAGAAGTGGAGAGAAGAAAGGTTGTGTGATGTGTGTTGAAGTCTTGGTTCGAGAAATTTTATGATTCTTAAATCATCCTTCACTGGGAATATATTTTCGAACCTAATTCAACAAGTTCATGATAGATTGGTTTTGCTTATATGTGTAGTTTCAGTATTTATTAGAACTTGTACTCTACGGAGGATCTGGAAAACTCAACATCACATCGATCTCATCCATGGTGGTGATGTTCATGGCCGATTCCATAGACTTCCATCAGGTACGTTGCCCATCTTCTCAAATTTTGTGGAGATCCAAATCATATTTCAACCGAAACATGATTTTAATGTTCAACTCTTAATCTACAGGTGCAATGAGGCTGAAAATCGTCTCGCAAGGCAGATTGGCTATTTGAATCGTTCTTCTCAACTCTAGTACTGTCGTATTCGAAGAGAAAACCCCTTTCAGCCAGGGTATGTTCATTTTTCTAATTTTTTATTGATATTGCTAGGCCACAAGTAATTGTGGTTTATTTTTAAATGAATGGAAAGCTTTTTTTCCTTTCATTCTTTTTATGAGAAGGAAAACTCCTAATTAGATCTTTCTTTCATTTTTTCCTCGTTCCTCGTTTTTCCTCATTCCCCATTTTCCTTGGTTCTAAAAGTTACTGGAGGTGTGCAGTACTTACAGGGTGGACTTTGAGTGCTAGACTGGTTGGTTTCTGACCTAGGCTACAGGGTGGTGCAACTTTTACCTTCCACAGGGTGGTGCAACCTTCACCTTCTACAGGGTGGTGCAACCTTCATCTCCTACAGGGTGATCCCAGTGGACTAAAGTTACCTAGGTATCAGGAAGAGTACGGGGTGATCTAATCCTCCACTGACGACAACTCTACTAGGACAGCAATCCAAACCTATTTGAGTTGGGACACGCAAGTTCTTGATTATATATCTATTTGCCTATAATTCGTTTATTTACCTCGATAGCTGATTGCTTACCTGAATAATAAGATTGCGGCACGAATTTTGTTCGGCTGCCCGCGCATATATGTATTTGTGTGTACATATCGATAAATTTTATTGTTTTTATTGCCCTTGCTTACTTTGCTTGGTTGTAACTGTCACTCGACTGAAAATATTGTTTAAGAGCTGTAATAATTGTGTAAGTCGTTCGGTGTACTACTTACATATGTTGTAACCGTAATAAAGCGGATATTGGAGTGCTTGAGTACGTCATATCGGGCACTTGGCCCGCCTCATTAACGCATGCGCAACACGTGAGCTCACGCGGTCGCAAAATAAATTGCATTTTGACTCAGATCTTCCAAATGCCGAGTGTTAAATGTTGTTGTTGACAATTGATGCGGTAACAGTATTGTTGTTTTTTGTTTTGTTGTTGTTTTTATTCATACTCATTACCTCCATTGTCCTTCGGACAAACAAGATAATATTGCTGAATGCTTGTTTATGCTTGATTATTTTACTTTTGTTTGTTATTCAACTCGAGATGGGTAATGTGTTCGACTTGCGAGTTACAGATACTGGTGCTTGACCTGTAATGACGCTTGCTTTGTTTTTTATAATATAAGTTTAGTAAAGCCTAACTTCCTGGAATGCGAAGAAATGAATTCAGTTGAATAATGTTTATTTAAAATTCATTAAACTGTTTAAACTTATACTGGCAATTTATTCCAACCCTTTGGTAAATTGGGGGTTGAGAATCTCAGTAGCGGGATATTTGTGGGTAAAATAATTTACCTGGCGCCCATTAAAGACTCCACTTGAATTTGGGTGTTTACTTATCGACCCACCTCTTCTCCACTGTAGCAGCCGCAAATATCCTGAACTAGTGTACAACCTACTGTGACGTTGTATTAGTTTCGAAGTCTATATGAGCAAATAAGATACGGATACCAAAAGAAGAAAAAACTTTCTAGAAACTAACTTGGTTAACCCATCTGTCTTTTTTTATGTAAATAAACAGGAGCTGTTTATTATAATCCATTCTATGAAAAATACGTTCTGTCAAATGAACTCTGTAAATTTAGATACGAAAAATCCACACAGGATGCATTATTAGCACAAAAAATGCGATCGCTGAAAATATGGATAGAAAAAGAAATGCTTTATGTGTTTCTGTACAGCTAACGAAAGCATTAGCCGGCTTCTTGAAGTTTAGAGGGTTGTGGTCTGAGAGGACCACCATAAGCACTATTACAAAGTTACCTGGACAATAGATAATAATGTGTTGAAATCTCTGACAATATGAAAAAAATCGAAACAATAAAATATGGTTTTCCTCAGAGAACAGTACTTGGCCCTATCCTTTTTATAGTTTATCTAAACTACATATTCCTACATCTTCCTCTTGAAGATGATCACTTGGTGATCGAAACACGTGTCGAGGTGTAAAAATAACGATTTGGTGTTGGGAAAAAACTCCAGTAATATTCATTACTACACCAAAGGTTCCAAACAGTACATTATAAGTACATATTCCAGACGGGGTTCAAAGACATCGTGAACTTTGCAGATGATAGCTGGAAAAAATTGAAACTTTTGCAGAAAGGTATTTCGATAATATCATGCTATGATTTGACGGCCGCCTGCTCACAATGAATGTCGATGGGACTCATTTAATTTTTTTTGCATCATATGCTAGATATTTACCTAATTTTCACCTCTTTCAAGATAAGAATTTATTAGTATTTACGAACATTTTAATAACAATCGATAGATCATTGCCGATATATAAGAAATAAAATATTATGTTACTCAATAATTATACCTGGAAAACTATAGAGTTCGTGAGTCGAAATGATATAATTGTCTCCTTCATGATATACAGGATGTAACATAAGTACGTTAAAATATTCAAGTGACTTATTCCTGAGGTAATTTTAACAAAAAAAGTCTATATGAACTTGTGTCCAAAAATGCTTCATTTCGGAGATACGGGGTGTTGAAATTGAATTTTTTTTGTTCGCTTTTTGGAAATAACTTGCAAAAAATAAGTTGTTTGCACGAAATTCGGTACCCGGGGTTTTTTTGACGAGCGAAATCATAATTTCGTATTAATTTTCATGTAACATCTAGAGGGCGCTGTGATTATTTATTTCAAATTGCCCTCACTTTTTTGACAGTCAACTTTTGTTACTTTTCATGAAAAAACCCAATTCCCACATCTTTTCCAAGTAAAAAAAGGTACCTACAGCTTTCGTTTTCGAGATATTTACAATTTTCTATATCGATGCATATTACTTATAGCTCCTAGGGCGCTAAGTAAAGTTGCTGATGACATTACAAAAACTAAGTATGTGGTGGATCTCGTCAAAATAAACAACTTTTTCCTATAAGATGTTTAACGGAGAATGATTCGTTTTCGAAATACAGATTGTTGAATTTTTCAAAACAATGTTGGTTTTGTCATAGGTTTTTTGCAAATTTATTCATTTGTATCTCGAAAACGAATGATTTTTCGATAAACATTTTGAAGAGAAAAGTTGTTTATTTTGACGAGAACCACAACATGCTTAGTTTTTGTACACAAGTTTATGTGGACTTTTTTTTTAAATTGTCTCAGGAATACGTCACTCGAATAATTCAATGTACTTTTGTTACACCCTATATAACAACAATTATTGGATCTATTCAAAGGGAAAATGAAAAAATATTCAGATAATACTTGAAAACACCATATAGATTGGTGGTTTTTTCCAGTCATAATATTCATAGAATAGTGATCCAATTGAAAACGAAAGAAAAATTCAAATATGAAGAACATTTCAAGTACATGAAGTAAATTATCCCTTTTTATATAATTTCTTATTTATTTTTACTATTTATTATCATTATACCTCTAGCCAGATGCTAACTACAAAATGTTTCACATATGTTTCA